AATCAATATAAAAAGAAAATATAAGGTAAATATTCTATATACAAAACAAACGAAAACATATACAAAACAATTAACACTATAACAGGACACTTAAAGCCATATGCACTGATAAACCAGTACATACTTTTAAGAAAACAATAAAGAATTAAAAAATAAAAATGTATTAAATTCTTCATTAAAATAAGATTTGTGTTCCTGTTGAGGAAACACAAAGCTGAACCTGAAAATATAAGGTGCCTGATTAATATATAAATACATTAAAATGTTGATTAATGTATAACTACACCATCATCATTTCTTAACGTAATGATAGGCAAGAATTTGATGGTGTATAAAAGATAATAGTTATAAACTACCAATAGATGAGTTCAGTGACATCAAGAGTAGGAAAATCTTTACCTTATAAGAAAATTAATATCTCTAGCAAAGAATAGCATTGATATTTGACAATGAATGGCATGAAATAAATGTATGTTATCAAATGGTTAGCTACTATCAGACTGTTTTTGGAATAGGAGGGTTTTGAATGTGGATAAGGATGTGGAATATCGAATTTTGACAGGGAGGGAATTCCAGAAATTGACAGAGCGAGCAATAAAGGAATTATTGGAATGAGGCAGATCTGTGAGAAGGCATGTAAAGGTTAGAAGGTCGAGATCTTGTGGACAGGGAATGGACTGAGGTAGGCGTAAGAAGGACGATGATTGTTGATGATTTGGTAAAGGAATGTACCTAGAAAATATTGTCTTCGGAAGGAAGGAAAAAGTCACTTTAATTCAGAATAGTGGGAGTATCTTGGGGCCCCGATCACTAATCTTAAGCAGCTGTTCATTAGTCTTCATTATATCTAAAAATTATTATCTAAAATGTCTACTTTAATACTGAATATTGCATTTTGTTTTTTTTTTACTTTAAATTACATTATTACCCGAGAAAATACCAATTATTTATTTAACTAAAAGTAATATGAATTAGTATAATACTATATTATAGTATATTATTGTACTATATACTCGTAAGTGTAAATATATACTTTAAATGTAATTATATAGCTTTGAAATACTTAACGAACCCTAAGAGCCTGTAAGGTGTGATTGACCGCTGGTCAGAAAAGGTAACCAAGGCAACCGTTCACAACACAACTTTTCCCACTGACCCATTCCTCACTCTTAGGCCATTACTTTAGCTTTCTGAAAACATAATATCTTTTGATTATTTTTTTTAGAATATATTAATATATATTTATAGAATATAATTTACTGATTTAATTATATGTTATCATAACACTTATGTTGTTATTTAATACATTTCATTGTTCTATATTATTTGTTTTATTAAAATTTTAAAATATAGTTGGCCTGAGTAAATAATTCGCAAAAGATATCGGTCAATGGTAATAAGGAAATAAATAAATGCACTATATTACGAGAGGAAGACATTTATTGTCTCTTTCATTCACTTATACTTGAAATATTTGCGTAGCTATTGGGTTAGTAAATAAGTCCTTTCGGTTTTTCAGGATGGAATAAAACTCAATTATAGACATAAAATTTATTTTAATCTACAATATATTGGCCATTATTTAATATGACTTTTTCCCATCTTTTCCACTAACTACATCATGTTCATAGAATGTCTGGAGTTTATTGTAGTGGTTTTTGATGTCCTCTTCGTTTTATAATTTCTTTCCATTTATGGAGCTCTGAAGACACCGGAATAAGTGGTAGTCACTTGGAGCTAGGTCTGGTGAATAGGGAGGATGGGGAAAAATGCAATTTCAATGATCTAATCTATTGGGGTTTGATTTGAATGGCGATTGGTGGTGTCAGCATCGAATCTTCAGGCTCACATAGCCTTTATTATTATTATGATAGAAATATTAATTATTTTTTTACTGGATTATTTGTTTATTGATAAATATCACAATCTGTCTCAATAAAGGACATTTATAATAAAGTTCTAAGAGCACATTCACACCATATTTGCAAATTCAAAAAAATAAATAAATAAATAAGGTAATTTCAAAATAATATAAAGCTAAATAAGAAAAAAAATATCATAGTGAAGGAAGAAAATGTAAATAATAGAATGATAAAATAGTAAATAATAAATGAATAAAATAGAATTAAAATTATCTTTTAAAAAAAGTAATGAAAATAAACATCTTAGACGCAGGCATACCTATTTACACTATTTACAGTCGGCCATGGGAACTCCGGACCATACTTGTCCCCCCCACATGTGGAGGGAAAGCGAGGCTTCAGGAGAACCCTGCGCTTCTTCCTCAACCACTCCACTGGAATTAAAAGCCAGCGGAGATTGAGAAATTGCGCTACAACCCCAGACACTCAATTAATTATTGATTGTTTATATTTTTATCATACTTTTGAAAATGGAAAGAATTTCCCAACGAGAAATATTAATAATAATAATGGATTGATGGTTGACAGTAGTTAATGATTGGAGAGACAAATAGTTGGGATGATCAATAAAAAATATATATATATATAGTAAAAATAAATAATTATATTAATAATATAAAAATAATAACAAAATAAATATAATTAATTATTTTTACAATTTTTTTTTTTTTTTTATTGATCACCCCAACTATTCTTCTCTTTAATTATTAATAATACTTATAAGAAATCTGAGTTAGTCATTTTATTAACTGGAGGGCTCATATTATAGTAGCTTAGAGTTGTTTTCTGTTCTTTATCTTTTAATCTCTAAGTCGAGTGACTAAGAAAAATCTATAAAATAAAATTAATGCATGTGGGTCAATGAGGGTGGCAAGATAGCGGAGGTTGACTAACCGCCCCAGATAAGGAGGGTCCATTTAACGGACTTCTCACGCGAGGCCTCGACGGACCTAATGTAGCAGCACCCCCGGTACCTCGCGACCCTGGGACATCTGATGGGACACCAAGCGAGGAAGATTAGGTTCCGTATCTATCTTCTCCATCCACGAGGTGTGGCTATTAAATAACCAGATTGATCCTGTAAAACATTTTATTTTGATTTCAAAGCAGTCTATGATTCCGTTGACAGGAACTATCTTTGTAATATCATGACTGAAAATTGGGGAAGCAGAGCAAATTCGCCTACAAGTAAATGAAGACAAAAAAAACATATGATAAGTTGGAAATTCCACCTCAATAACAGAATCTGTCTAGGAGGAAAATTGTTCCCGAGAGTAGACCAATTTAATTACCTCGTCTCCTCAATAACCTCAATGAATGAACAACGGTCAGAACTAGACCAGCGTAAAACTAGCGCAAACAGATCTTTCTTTCCTCTTTCAAATGTATTGAAATCCCAAAAAATCTCAAATTAAAGGTTACAATTCTATGACAAAGCCAATTTTAATGCGATCCCAGGATACTAATCAACATCCTAGAAAGAATTATTGAAAGATTTGAAAAAATAAATCTCCGCACCATGATCGGAGCTATCTTGGATCAGAGTACTAACACATGGGAGATATACCAATAAAGAGCTGCTTACAGTAACTGTTCAATTAATATTTCATGATACGAAGGCAAGGAGGTTAGATGGTCGAGGAATGTAAATCAGAGTAATTCGTCTGGAAGTCTTTACACAATATATCCTTAATACAAGGCAAAAGATCCCATTGAAGGCAAAAAAGCAGATTGATAGATCGAATGAACAAAGATGTAATAGAGCTGCGTGCAGATAACTGTGAAAGAAATCGCACAGTATAGGCTGAGATGGAGCAGGCTTAAGATATACAAGAAATACCAACAAGAAAAAATCACATATTAAAAAATTATTATTTAACGCTCCAAGAGCCATTTTCAAAAATTGTTTTCTAACAAACTGTACATATTTATAAACAAACTGAAAAGACTTATGAACAGCTGCGTAAGATTTGTAATTGGTGCCCCGAGATACTCCCAAGTGTCTCACCTCTACACTAGGTTAAAGTGGCTCTTCCCCTCCATTCGAAGACAATATTTCCTAGGTATGTTCCTCTATAAAATCGTCCTTACGCCTACAACCTTCTCCAATTCAAGTCCTCAGTCCACTCCCTTTTCACAAGATCTCGACCTTCCGGCCTTTACATTCCTTCTCACAGATCTGCCTCGCTCTATTAATTTCTGGAATTCCCTTCCTATCAAAATTCGGCATTCTCCCTCCCTATCTACATTTAAATCCCTCCTATTCCAATTTCTATCCCAAAAACAGTCAGACACCCCCAGATAACTGTTTATATCACACAATGATATATTTACATATTTTACTCATGGCTTAAATACTTACTATAAGATTCGCCTTCTTTTTCTTTTCTTTTTTTTTTCTTCTGAAACTCAGAGTTTACTGATATGAAGAATGTAATGCATTTTTTATTTATTTTTATTAGTGTATACTTATGTTTTACCACTGTACATTTTAATTGTTTTGGCATTGTTTCAAGTGTTTTGTATACAGATTTTTTTTTAATTATGAACATAGTATGTTCAACTGATATTTTCTTAACTTTTTTTCTTTATTTTTACTTTTTATGTTTGTTTTTACTCAGGCCAGATATAATAATTTAATTTTGTACTCTTTTGTTATTCTAAAGGGACTTCGTCCCAAAGTAAAATTATTTTTCTATTCTATTCTATTCTAAGACACAAATAGAGAAAAATAAACAAAATAGTTAAGTAAATAAGCATGAGTTATAAATGCCCGAAGTGCGAAATGCTCGTGGAAGAGTAGATTCGGAAAGTAAACAAAACAACTTAGCCAACAACCAATGGAACACGGCTGGATTTCCTAGAATCGGTGAATCGACTGATTCTAATTGAGGAATCGACTCTTTGATTCCATTCTTGATTAACCTGCCCATCTCTAGTACCTACTCAATGAATCTCAACCTTCCCTATCTCGTTAGGATAAATTGTACTTACCTGCCAGAAATCGTACTTCTGGTTATTCTACACCTGATAATATAGTAAATATATTTTTTCTTTTGTGTCTCTCGCAGATGTAGCATGTTGTGGGAGGTGGTGGTGGGAGCTACGCTGCTGACACTGGCCGGGGGGAACTACCCCCAGTTCGACGCCAACACCCAGATGAGCAACCTCCTCCTGCCCGCAGACGCCCGGGTCGGCTCCGTCATCTACAGGCTCAGGGCTACAGACTCCGACAGGGACTACCCTCTCAGGTTCGCTGCAACGGGTGAGTACTCTCTAATAATAATAATTATATTATTTTTATATCACAGAAAAAGATGAATATTTTTTGTAATGCAAGGATTTATTTCATCAATTCAGAAACAAGTAGTTTCCAACAATGCTTATAGGAAATATACATGCGGGGATGATGTTAGTGACCTATGCCACCTATATAAAAATGCAATCAGGTGAATCCAGGAAATATTATCAGAATGTTAAGCACTGGCAGGTAAAAAATACCTGATGAGGCACGATAAAGTTTAAGCGTGTTAGACAACTTTCTTTCACTTAAAGTTCTTTAAGTGCAGGTAGTTCAATTTCCTCATCAGCTGAGGGGCCTCTCTCTTTCTCTCTCTGTCAGGATGTAAGAAGACTGTTTCCGTCAGCAGTTCGGCCCTCAGTGCCTACGACTACGGCTACGATGATGTACTCATAGAACGCTACTCCCGGGGCAAAGGAGATGTTTTTAATATGTTTTATTTTAAACACCGCTAGCCCCAAAGTCCAAAATTTTATTTTGTAATTTTTTTGTTGCATGTGTACAGTTTCTGTAAAATCTGTTGAAATAGATAAACTAGTTTTTTTTTGGTGCCAAAGAGAATCGTTTAGGTGTAATTAAATGTTTTATTATCGATAACTATAGTGACTTGGACAGTTTTTAATTATTTATTATTAATTTTTTTTTTAATTAGCATAAAAAATGTAATATAATTTATACTGATGCTTCAAAAGTAAACGACGAAATAGGATGTGCTATTGTCAACTCTCAAATAGTAAAGTACTTCAAACTTCCGGAGGTCTGCTCTGTATTTAGTGGAGAGATGATCGCTATTAGAGAAGCTTTGACTTACATTGATTCAACGGAGAGTAACAAATGGGTCGTGGTAACCGATTCAAAGAGCGCAATCCTGGCCATTGAAAAGAGAACACCAACAACTACACTGGCAAGATCTATTAAAAATATCTGGTGGAAACTGACAGAAAAGGGAAAGGAAATAGTATTCATGTGGGTTCCTTCACACTGCGGAATTGTCGGAAATGAACAGGCAGACAAAGCAGCAAATATGGCGAGAAGGCTAGATACAAATCCAATAGTTATAATCAAAGAAATCCCGATAGAAGATTTCATACATCATATAAAAAAAAAATTGCGGGTAATGTGGGAGAACGTATGGCAACAAATAGAAACCAAATTAAAAGGAATAAAAAGCCACTGTTCCAAATGGAAAACTAGCAACCGACTCTCTAGAAAAAGAAGAGACAGTCCTCTGCCGCTTAAGAATTTGTTCATAGTGAATCTTCACATGCCTACTTACTAAGAGGACTAGACCCACCGACCTGCGAGAGCTGTAAGGTACAAAGAACTGTCCAACACATCATTCAAGACTGCCCAGTATTTGAGAATGTAAGGAAAAATCTCGATATGGCTCAGAGCCTAAAAGAAAACCTCAGCGACAACGAAAACGCCGTGGAAAAAACCTTAAAGTTTTAAAAAAAAAATAAAATTCTACAATAGAATATAAATAGGAAGTGTTGCCAATGACCCTGCAGGGTAGAGGCAACAATAAAATAAATAAATAATTATATTAAATGGAAAACTATAATAAAATCTACAATAAGCAACTGTATTGAGTGCTAAATGACACATAATACTAATCCATCTGCTTGACAATATCCTGTAAAACTATTTGGCTTGATGTGCTTTGTATATAAAAATGCCATTTGTTGTTTTCTTTTTTTTTCTCACCCTCATTATTCTTTATTTTGTCACCTGGTTCCATAACGCAATGACCAGAATTAATGTGATGGTGCAGGATTTCCAGTCAGTCCAAAATAATGGACTCCACCATACTCTGTACCTTATTTCTTTTAATAACTAGGCTTTTCCAAAAAACTAGCAGTTGAAAGAAGAATTGCTGCTCCTCTACTTCCCAACCAAAGTCCTCATACCGAAAAAATTGTCTCCTCAAATTCATCTCCATATTTCTCGCCAAGCATTTTTTACTCCCTCATAACACACCGGCACCATAGGGTCAAATCCGAGTTCATGAGGCTCCTTATAAAAAAATTAATTTTATGTAATTTTTATGTTATGCAATGTTGATGGCTTAGTATAGATTTCTAAGCCTGGTGTAGTTATTAGTTTAAACCTTATAAAACTAGTATTATGAATAGGAAGCAAAAGAAAAGAAAAGAAAAATGAAAGATATAGATATATATATATATATATATATATATATATATATATATATATATATATATATATATATATATATATATACCTTATAAAACTAGTATTATGAATAGGAAGCAAAAGAAAAGAAAAGAAAAATGAAAGATATATATATATATATATATATATATATATATATATATATATATATATATTTGTTACACTCTATTGTACACAAGTACAATGTAGTTTTTTAAATAATGTCATTGCCTTGATTTTAAGTAATTGATTTGATTTTAAGGTGCATTTTAAATGATTTTTTCAAACTTAAAAATATTTTAAAAGTTTACGTTTAGTTAGTAAATTTCGTTTAATTTCCTCAAAAACATGTGATTTACGTTAAATATTATCAGTTTTCAAAAATTATTATTTATAATTTTTTGCCACTCTCCGTTACCTTCTACAACTTTCTATATTAGGTATTGTTTTTTCTAAAATTCTCCGCTTTCCAACGGTATATTATACGTGTACCTTCTGACCGGTATTTCCGGAGATTCATTTTCGACCTAGATAAGCATTTTTATTTATTTTTCTCCTTTATTCGATTATCATATTCTTTCAAAAGCTATATTTAGCAAAAATTTCCTCGATCGCAATACTTATCCTTACTATATATTACATATATACGTAAGTGAAAGTATAATGTATTTAAATATTTCATTTACTCTTTTAGCGTTTGAATAATCTATTGAAGGGCCTAATTGCCAATAATAGAATGATGAGCCTTTGTACAACACTAGTCAAGGTTTTTAGGGCTCCCTCGCACGCAAACTTATCAAACGAAGCCTTGCCATTAAGCTTGACAAATTGCTGATAAATTATTTAATGTACGACCTATCACAAGCTGAAAGAGAACCGCCATCCATCAATTGGTCAACTTTCGTTAATATTGTCAAATATATTTCTTAAGCTGTTTACTCTACTAATTTATCAATCTTTTAAAAAAGGCACTGATTCTTAAAGAACGCTTATAACAGCTGATGTATCTAGTTCTACGATAAATACTGTTACAAAAGTTGAACTGTGTTTAATCCTTATCTCTATCAGATTATTTTCTTTTGAAAATGTAGGTCAGAGATTTTCAACACTTTGAAACGTTTGGGTTTGTGTACCGCACTGTAAAAAAATACAATGAGACCTTATCTGTATGTGACAGACCTCGACCGCACTGTGAGTACGAGTACGGCAAATGTAGTGAGAGCAGTGGCAGCTCGAATCAGAAGAAATCCCAATCGAAAACAACAAATCATGTCTCGGGAAATGGGAATCTCTGTCAGATCAATGTCTCCCATAATAAAAAGTGACCTTAGGATGGCTGCATTTCGAAGAATGGCAGGACAAAGACCAACAATTCCTCCCCAAAAAATTAGATTGGATAAATACAAAGTGCTCCTTGGCCGTTACACCAATTGTCTTCGTCAATATATTTAGTTTAGCGATTAGAAATTTTTTATAATTCAAGAAATTTAATCGCCAAAATGATCTTGTGTGTACGCACACAGCTCTAAAGAAACTCAGGAAGTCATTGGAAGATTGGGATGACGTCATCACCCTTCCTCAATGATGGTTTGGTGGGTAGCTTCCTTCGGTGGCCCCACAAAGCTCCATTTTTGTGAAATCAGAACGATATTATGGAACCTATTGTCAAGCCTCTAAACGATACTCTGCTGGAAGTTATTGGATTCCCCTCCAGCTCACAAGGCCAGTTTCTGAGATTACACATTCAATTACACATCCTACAGTTCCAGATACTGTTCCATTCTTTATCTTGTCTTCTGGTTTGAAACTCATCATTTTCAAAATTCCTAACACCGTCAAAATGTGCCCCTCTCAAAACGCTTGATGGCGCAATTTGCGTACACCTCTGTCACTTGTACAAAACTTTCCTTGTTTATAAGCTTCAAATCCATATTAATTAAGTTAAGGTTGGTCACCCGATATGCTGCTATTCACCTATCGTTTTGTAAAAAGATGACATTTGATATTCTCACTTTCCAGAGTACATGTGTTTTCAACAAAAAAAGCTACAATAAATTGTTATCATACAATGCCTTTTTTTCTAAGATCTAGGATTAATTGTGATAAATAAGATACGAAAATCCACTTTTTACTTATAAAAAATATGTTTAGAATTACATCGTTTTTTAAAAATCAACAAAAGTGATAATGCCCCATAAGCAAGACAAAGTTTATCACAAACTTATGATTCATTTTTATCTTGATCGAAGTTATATTATGAAGTGTTTCAAATTTCCTCGTCATCTTCTTCGTTTTAAGTAACGTAGTACCTTCTTTAATTCCTTAAATTCAACTAGGTTCTTCTGAACGTATTTCAGATTACGGCTCCTACGTCGTGCGGGTCGAGGACCTGCCGTGCAGCAGGAAGAGCTCGGCCTGCGAGGCCAATGTGTTCCTGGAGCGGAGCGTATCCCCGGGTCAGGTCTTCAAGTTCCGGCTGACGGTGAGGGACACTTCCGGCGACACCACCACCTCCGCGGCGTCCATAAGGGTCACTGACGGCGTTACCGACTTCCAGAATGTCTTCCCCCACATCCCCGGCGTCATCATGATTCCGGAGGTAATATAAAAAGTTTTTTTTAACAATTATTAAAAGGTTATTATTGGCATTGTTACTAGTCTTCGAATATTTAAATTCTACTTACGTTTGCACTGTTTTTAAGAAGAGGAGAGGAATAAAATATCTTGGGAGGGGTGGTGAAAGGTTTATGCACCATCAGCCTTGGGTATCACCTCCCTTTATGTATATCACGATTTATGACTTGCACAAACACCCAACTGGTTTTCTATTGTTCAATTCGGGGCTTTAATTACATGACGCCATTCGATTTCTGTTCTCTATGTTCACTAATAACGTATAAACAACCCTCCCTCCCTCCCCACACCTCTTTCTTTTCAGTTGAGGTGAAGGTCTTTCTAGATGGTTCAGTCACCTTATACCCTTATACTTTCTTATTTATAGTGTGATCTTGTGTCACTCATATAAATGGAAGAACAGCTGTAAAATAACACATCTCTAGTCAAATTTTATGATTTACCGGTTGTCATTACTCCACAGTTCAGTCACCATCAGGATGACAATATTGATAGTCCTAATAATATCTTTATTATCGAAACTTGACCTGCCAAGTTTGCTAAAGGAAAGGCTTTTCTGATTTGTCAACAAATTATTGAAGTGTCACATAACTAATCCCAATTTTTTTTTAAATGTTCCCAATCATTTTAGATTAAGATTAAAATTTTCTTATTTTCAGGATACCAAAGTAGGTACAGAGTTGGAGTATGTTATAGTTAGGAAGCATCCTCGTTCTTTAAGACCTGCGCACTTGGAATTGGTCGTAAGTATTCTACACATTTTTAGTTTCAGTAAAGACTGCCATATCGTTTATAAATCTATTACTTAATTTTTTGTATATATTTACAGGGTGGATCAGAATTCAAGATCAACCAGACATCAAAGAAGGATACAACGACTGGGATCATATTATTAACACTGCCACTAGATTATGAAGTGAAAACTATGTACAAATTATCAGTTTATGCTATGGTTTGTATGATTTTATGTTTTATCAATGTCATACAATTTTGAGATTTTATTATTTATCTTCTTTTTTGGGCATTACAAATGTTTAAGCGATTCTTCAATCCCTCGACTAGCTCAACCTTATTTTTTTTATAAATAAAGTGTCGTAGACATCCCCCGGTATTTACTCCTTTATGTGACATTGGGTGAGGGAATGAGAAGGAATATATAATATATAGGAATGTGAGGTTGCACTGTGAATTGTACTCAATTGTGCAGTGGACATATTGTTCATTGGAAAATCTTATATCGATAAACAATCGATAAAGAAGGAAAAAGGTCCGGTCAGGTAGCAGCAGCTGAAAGACGACGCCAGGCACTTGAGGCTGGACATTGACAACTCCTACCTGCGAAGAGAGGCTACTACAAGATTTAGAAGATCAAGTCTATAGTTATAACACTTTAAAATAGTCAATTTATTACAGTTGTAGAAGTAAATCATTTTGTTATACAGGAGTGAAAAGTCATTTATTTATTTAGTTGTCCTATATGCCTCACGATTGAAGAATAACAAAATAGGTGAGTCAATTCATTTAAAGTGTATTTACTCAGTCCCACATTTCAGAAATGTATATTCTTATTGTTTCTTCTCACTCAGTGTCACAAAAGGTATTAGATTCCCGGATTCCCAACAACAGTTAAACACCCTCAAAAAGTCTATATCCAGTGCCGGGGTTTTGTTTTAAAATTCAGGAGTGTAAATAACCTAGTTCCCCGATATAAAAGCTGAAGGCTATTCGCTATTCCCGCCAAAAAAACAAATTATTTAACAATTAACTTTTAGTAGGTTATTTACAAAAGACAGGCTAAATCACCAAGTCACATCTGTTTTGGCGCTACACATATGATACACTTATTTTCAGTTTAGGGAAATCCTTCCAGGACTTTTCTCCATCTTTCTTTTCGTTTTCCTTACTCCATCAGGATAGTTTTGTGTTATTTTCTTGCCCTCCTTTCTTTTTCCATTCTAAGCAATTAACCAACCACTTCATCTTCTATATCCCTGAAAAAGAGGCGATGCTCAATTCTCCATAGACTTCATGTAACTCCATTTTCCTATATTATCATCATCAGAATCTAATGCTTCTTTACAGCTTCCCAGTATGCTTCTTTACAGCTCTCTATAGATCTTGGACCAAGTGTTCTCTCTCCTCCTGTCCAACACTTCCCGTACTCCTTATCTCTGGTCTTCCTCTTGATCTTTTTCCCTCCACTTTTGTTTCATATGCCATTCAGGTCATATTCATCCTAAGAAAGTGAGGTGCTCATACCATCTTAGTTTGTTGTTGCTTAAAGTGGTTTCCACCAACTGTACATCGAGGTTTGACAGTTGTTCCATTTTTTATATAATTAAACAAAATTTCAAAAACTTTTTTATTACCTATAAAACCTTGAAAATGCCAATAAATAATAGGTCTATACATACTTTTTAAGCTTTTGTTTAGGATATAAAATATATTTATAGATTGAAACTGAAATTTTATAAACAAAGAATATGGTCCATATATGTAAACCTCTTGTTATTGTGTTATCAGGGAATGTGGACGGATACCGACACTGACAGCAGAAACGTTGCGGGTTTTGAGCTGGTGGTTGTCGTCAGTGATGTACAAGACACTCCCCCTGTTTGGGATGCGATAGCTCCAATCACGATGCTTAGCCCCAACCTCACGAAGGTAAATGTTTAATTTAATTTCATATTTCTGAATAGGTAAATACAAAGAATATTAATACAGTCAGTAGAAACCATAGCAAACTATCATGTACCAATTGTAATATGAATCTCTCTTCCTCTCTATTTAATACACATTCATTCATCAGGTCAATTTGGAAATAATCAACGATTGTTATATCAACATGGTGAGTTGTAATGCATGCTTGCATAAAATCCATGAATATAGTTGTCAAACTAGGAATTGCATCCACAGTGTTATGTATCTTTACCATGTTTAAATGACACTTGTGAAATTTATCCTATAATAATCTAGAAGTTCATCTACAATTGACGAACAAAGATCTCTTGCAAGTGTTCTCTAAACTGAAGTCGCTTCTGTCTGTAGGGAGACACGGTGTTGAAGGTGACTGCTAAGGATGGGGATCGAGGCTTGCCCAGGGAAGTCAGATACGCTCTAGTTGCTGAGAAGAATCCTTTCACAGTATTCTTTGACATCGATCCTGTTACAGGTGAATTCCGGATTGTATTAATGAACAAAATAACTATATATCTATATTAATTACTTATATAAGCTTACACATTCATAGATAAACTTCTCTATTCAGTGAAATAACCCTATTCTTCCAAAAAGGTATGTCCAAGTCATTATACAATCTAAAATGAATTCTATTTTTAAAGGAGTCATCCGCCTGGTACGAGAACTGCGAGAGCTGACTGCTATATCGCGCTCTCATCAACCCATCCTCCTCACAGTAGTCGCTGAAGAAGTGGTACCCGATGGAGGTGTCGGAGACTCCAGCACAGCGACTGTAGCCCTGCTTCTTGGAGAACTAGGAAACAGTCCACCATTCTTTGAGAGCATGAGGTATGTTACTTGAATGTGAGGAAGGAACACTTTCAAAGGGATGTTGCCCAAATATGTTATGCAGTATACTTTCAACAACAAGATAAACATATATTCATTTTCTTAATCCTTTTACCGAATACATTCCTTTCAGAGGTATGTGAACAATTTTAAACACAAAATTTTTTGTTTTAGTCAAATATATATTAAATTAAAAGCCTACATGTTCAAGAAATTTTGTATTTGTTATTGAACTAATTTCTAACATAACTAGGTATTAACATGATGTTGTGATACAAAAAAATATTTATGGTTAAGAATCCCTGCTCTAAAACAGGGCTTTTTGATACTTCTTTAAAACTAATAAAATTGTTTTTAGTAATACATAGGTGAAAAGTTGCTATGTTTAATTTTATAAATCAAAATTTCTATACACAGTCGACTCTCGATAATTTGAATTTTCTAATAATTCAAGCTCTTCAGCCGTTTACTTACGAAGTCCAAAAAATACTTTATTTTGATATACTCGATAACACGAAATCCTTTTTGTACTTTATAATTCAAAATTGTCCTAGTAATATCTTTTATATGAGGCTATGTATATATAAAATTTATGTTAGCTCATACATGTTTCCAAAAATATAATAAAAATCTGGTGCGGTGCGCGCATCACACAACTTTCACTCACCATCCTCTTCTTAGCAGAAATAAGTATTTTCAGAGAAAGCGAAGTGAAAGTAAAAATTATAAATGCTATATTTATTTATATTTCATTGTGGGTATTTTTATTTGTATAAGTACCCTCATATATACAAATTTTAATATTTACATCGCTGTAATCTACATAATTAAATATTAAATAATACCAACAATAGCATTTATGAAAACCACATATGTATATTTATATAATATTGTCGGAGTCCGTATTATATTAATCTTATGATACGTATGAAAGCATGTTCTAAATTTTAAAGGTACTTTAGATGAAGCTAATATTGAAAATTAGTCATTTAAGCCCTATTAGAGAACATCAATCAGAATAATAACCACATTTTATTTAAAACTTCTTAAATTTACTCTGATGTGAGGAATTTAATCAAAATCGTTTGAGTGGTTTTTGGCATAATCGTAAAAATGTGTTTAGTCCATTATATAAAGTGCCACTTCCGGTTAGCCGATTTTGATTAAACAGTTGCTGTAACATCCATAGTATATAAAAACCTTAAATATGCAATTTCACTTCCGTACGACTTTTTGTTTTTGAGCTAGACGGTTCACACACACACACAAAGACCACTTTGCGGGACTTGGTTACTTAGACTCAGGGGATCTCAAAACGTGTATTTACGTTTAAAACTCAGATTCAAAAATTTTCGCTATCGCAATACTTACCCTTACTATATAGATAAGTGAAAGTAAAAATTCTTAATAATTCGAAGTCTCGATAATTCAAATTTTTCTCCTAGCCACTTGGATTTCGAATTATCAAGAGTTAACTATTTTCTCAAGGATCTTTCATGTTCAAGAATTTGACTGTATTTACATAATATATAATTAACAGTGTAAGTGTGTATATATTTACGTAACTAAGTTTTTAAAAATATTTTTTCAGTTACTCCACTCATTTACCTGAAAATAGCCTGCAAGGAACAGTGCTGGTGTTCGATGACAACTATATTACTACAGTTAAGGACAATGACATGGTATAAGAAAAAAGAATTTTACTGAATCTTTATAATTGGTATTTATCCCAAATTGTATTACATTATACTTTTAATGTAACACATTGACCTTATAACTTGATTGCAATCAGCTTTGGGCAAGTTTCTTAACTCAGTGCTGAGTTCATCAATACATTATCAGACCATTCTTAAACCCCCAATGATGTTCTTTTATTGCTAGACTGATGGCTCAGCGGTTCCATCAGTTTTTGGGGTCGATCATCATCTGGATGTAGCCTCAATATAATGTCAGTATTGTTATTTCTCAATTTACTTTAAATATTTATATTCAGTTTACTTTTGATCTATATTTATTTCTGTTTTAAAAGTCAATAATTTAGTAGGTAGGTCTAGTCCATTGTACAGACCTCTTTTTATCAAATTATTAACATCCACCTAAAACTTCGTGAATAGCTTTGTCTCATCGTCAAGGTGGCCTACAAAAATATTGGGCTGTTTGGCCTATGTAACCTCCTCATTTTGACATTCTGGGGATGGAGGTCATGCCAAATTGGCTCAACATTTTTGTAGGCCACCTTTTTTTTTTTTCTTCAATTTTGTGATCATATTATCTTACGATTCAAGTGGAATGCAAACAGGTATTCATGAGTTTGTATTACCTAATTAAATAGAAAAAGTTTGCTGATCTCCAGATTGAAAACATCCCATTTCCTAGAATTTTTGTAAATAAAATGTTTGTACATTACGATGAGTTGAAGCTATTCATGAAGTTTTAGGCTGATGTTAATAATTCGATAAAAAAAAAGGTGTCTGTACCATGGATTAGTATTTCCTTGTATTATATATTTTTCATGTTTTGTAAACTTTCAGAAGTTCTAACTTTCCGCTGGAATCCAGCAGGTCATTCTTAAATTCAGCCTTAGTGGCATCGGTGCTGGATTCAATCCATTGATGGAATTTGAGCTGATTTTAGGAACTTGTCCAATGTTGCAAACAATCAACCCTTAACAAAAACATCAAAAAATACTTCAATATTTTATTTAGTTGTTTCATATTTCCCTGTGTGCTTCCTAAAAATTTAATATTTTATTCAACTTGAATCTGGTTTTTATTAATCTGATGAAGGCCTAAAATGTTGAGTATACTTTGGTGCACACAAATCTTTTAAAAAATTACTGTATTTTCAAAACTTTTGTATTTCTTTTATTTATTTTTAATCTCCTAACAATCATAGTTTATGCTTTGAGGTTATAACTACATCTTCAAAACCATATTATTCTTGATAGTGTTTAGGCAGATTTTAAAATTATCTTTTTTCACTTAATTTAAATATATTATTATTATTATTATTATTATTAAAATAAATAATTTTTCATATCAGCATCTATAATTTTAAATTTGATTTTACAATTAAACTAAATCTCTACTTTGGATCAGACTTATTCCAGATAAAAAATGATAAATAGATGCTAATATGAACAATTATGTATTTTAATAATACTAATGTACTTAACTAACTATATTTAATTTGGATTCGGGTCTAACAGCACTCAATTTGAACAAAGGCGAAGATTTCACTGTTGTGTCAGAAAATAAAATGCTGTCCGAATGGAAAAGCAAGTTACTAAATGGTAGATACTGTAGCCAATTGAATGAAGCCTCCATAAACAAAGAAAGATCAGTGGAATAGTTAACGGCTGGAAGGCTATTTTCTGAAACAGAAGGCTTTATAGCAGTCATTCAAGATTAGGTCATATAGGAGATGCATTCTAAAAGACACTACAACATATGATAAATGCCGACTGTGTCCAAAGATGCTCGAATCAACTCTATATTATAAATATAATCCCAATAGGCTCCTCAAGATTTATTGGGACAAATCTATTATCACAGACCACACAGTGCATCACAATAGACCTGATATCTTCATAATAGATTTCGGAACAAAGAAAGTCAAGCTTATTGATGTCCCTATTTCAAATGACAGTAATATAAGTATAACTGTGGGTGAGAAACTCAGAAAATATCAGGAATTGGGGATTGGAATAAAATAATTTTACTGTTTGAAGGGCGCAATGGTAATGTCAATTGTTATATCAACAAATGGTTTGATTCCAAAGACATGGTGGTAGTTACCGATGGATTGGTGTGCTAAGAGAGGCTCAGCAAGCAGTTCTTTGGGTATAACCAGAAGTCAGAATTTTTTTTAAATATTTGAAAAAAAAAATGTATATCTGTTGATGGTTGGACTTGTTCCCCACCTTCAGCTTCAAATTCACAAAGGCGAGAAAAATAAAGATAATAATAATTTATTTTAATTAAGTTACAAGAATATAATTTTAAAATCATCTTTGCTTTAACACTAACAAAAATACTATACTTATGAAGATGGGGTTTATAACCCCTATGTAAATTATGATTGTGATAAGTTAAATAAGAAAGAAGAAAGTACAGAAGTTTTGAATACATCTAAACCTATTTTAAAAAAATTGTTTTCTGTATATTTTTTTTTTAACCATATTCTATCCATCATCTCCATGATAAAGCATTTAAAAAATTTTTCAATAATTTTGTTTTATTCTTGATTTATCTCTGACCAAAGATCAATACATTTTGTTTCGAAAGGGTAAGCATGGTGTATTTGCACTAAGCTTGGAAAATAACAATGGCACCTTCGAAATCTCTCCTGCGGTAGGAGAAAGGGAAGCCGACTTTGTCATCAGAGTGAGAGACAACAAACTCTTAGACTTTGAAAAGAGAACTCAACTGGTCTTTAAGGTAGTCAACATAAACAACAAATAAATCTTTACTAATTTTAAAAATTATTTTAGTTCAATTTATGATTTTTAAAGGCATTTCCATCGTAATTCAGTGATAATAGTTTCACATCTTGTAAGTTCTACAAAGTATGCCATTATAGTACAATCTGTATTTTTTATTTTCAGATCTGGGCTAGAGAAGTGAACCCATCTGAGAACCCGCTTTCAACCAGCGTTGACGTCACGGTCTTCTTAACAGACGTAAACGACAACTTTCCTGTATTTTCCTCAGCCAATTACAGTGCGGAGGCGCCTGAAAATGTTACAGCAGGTGAATTCATATTCTAAATTTTGTTATTTAGTCTACTATATTTTAAGGAAATATGAAAAAAAAAAAAAAAGATATTCTATCAAATTCAAAGTATGTAGTATTCATCATAAGGCTTGATCCTTTGGCTCAGACTTTCCATTTTGATTGGTGGGAGGCAATGGACCAAAAAAAAAATGGCAGAACATATTATGTGTATAAATTCAACATAATTATTGTGAAATGAACAAATATAATGTTGGATATTTAAAATAAATTTATTTATATGTATTGGCAGTTGTAGGATTTTTTTTTTGTGCTTTTGGGTATACATACAAATATCTGAACAAAACAATTGGATACATTACAATTGGTACATTTCCAGAACTTTTTTTAGCTAAAAATGATATGCTAAAAACTAAAAATACTTTTGATTTCTTAGTTTGTACAACCTCCAAATAAAAATAAAAAGTTCTCTCAGTTATGTAAAAGTTTCTAAAAATATTCTTTATTAAATATATTTTTTTCCAAATTTACTACAGAAAATTTATTTAAAATCACGCCAAAATAGAGGTGTCCACATGAAAGATGAATGAATCATAAATTCCTAGGATATGTTTCTATATTATTATTCCTGAATATGAATGGAAATTTAAATAATAGGAATATTTATGTTGCGATAAAATAGTTATGTGTAGTTATTTATAGGCTTTAGCTTAGCCAACTAGTCGACTTTTCTTATTATCTTAATCGATTTTAGTTTACATATTTCATTCATTCATCTAGCTTATTTGTTATCAATTTTTTTTTTTAACTTCAAATTATTTGGGGAAGGGGGTGCAGAACAAAATAATATCATCGCCCCCTCATCATTTTTATTGAGGGTGATCCTCCTCCTCCCCCAAGTCTGTGCCTATGACTAAATCACCCGAAGTTTTATGCTGATATAGTCCAAACTCAGCCCTGCCAGATGAGCATTAACGTAATTATCCCACCTTCTCCTAGGTCTACCCCTCGTGCACTTACCAGTCAGCATAGTGCTTATTAACCTTACTTTCATTGCTAAGCCCTCTGCCTTCAACCTATCGTTAATCTCCTCTTCAATTTTTTTTTTCTAACTATCATAGACCCTAAATACCTAAACTCCATATGTTCAAAGGCATTACCTTTTATATCTGTATCACTGAAATCGTCACCATTTTTGTAGCTAATATTTTGTCTAGTCTTTATTTATTTTGAGCTCAAATTCCTTACCTTTCGTCAATTTTCTTATCACAAGTTAAACTAATAATAATTCATTAACTATTTTATTTTAAATAATAAAATGCTTTTAATCTTTATTTAATACTCATATGTAAATATTTGTCTACCCTAATATTAGGTTACAGATTGGTACGGGTGGAGGCTAGTGATGCGGACACAGGGGACTTCGGCGTTGTCAAATTTACTGGAATCTATGGCAAGAATAACAACTCTCTCAGAATAGATGAAGATACAGGCCTCATCACCATAGCTACGGACAGGCATGGATTTGACAGGGAACAATCCTCTTGTGAGTAAAATCAATCAATCCTAATCACAAATGCTACCTTGCAACAATCATTCCAACAATCATTCAATCATTCCAAAATACAAATAGTTACCTATAACATCTAATCAACCCATGCCCCAAATTTTCACTCCATTAATCTTACTAATTTGTTATTTCATGAGGAAGAATCCTTTAGTAAATTTGTGGATTCTTCTGTGAAGTAGTAACCTCTTTGATTTTTAAATATATTTTTTTATTTGCTATACTCTATTGTAGTAGATAGCTCCCCAGTATTTACTCCTGTGACATTGTGTGAGGGAATGAGAAGGAATATATAATACATAGGAATGTGAGGTTGCACGATGAATTGTTCTCAATTATGCAGTGGACAAATTATTCATGGAAATGTCTCATATCGATGAAGAAGGACGCTGGAAAAAGGTCAGAGCAAGTAGCTAGCAACAGCTGGCAGAAGGACACCGAGAAGAGCACTTGAGGCTTGGACACGAAGACGAGAAGACGTCATCTGGGAAGAGAGGCTTACGTTGAAGACTAAGAATATCAAGCCTACAGTTATAATACTTTATACATTAATTTATTACAGTTATCAAAATAAATTGTTTTATTATACAGGATTGAAAAGTCATTTTATTTCGTTATCAGGTGAGTCGATTCATTCAAAGTGCATTTACTAAGTCCCACATTTCATATATATATTCTTACTGTTTCTTTTTACACAGTGTCACAAAAGTATTAGGTTCCCGAATTCCCAACGACAGTTAAACACCCTCAAAAAGTCTATATCCAGTGCCGGGGTTTTGTTTTAACATGCAGGAGTGTAAATAACCTAGTTCCCCGATATATAAAAGTGGAAGGCTATTCGCCTATTCCTGCCAAACAAATCATTTAACATTTAACTTTATTTCGTTATTTACACCATCATAGATGTTTCAGGCCGTTAATCCTCCTAGTATGGGCAAGTTCCTAAACTTAAGGCGAATTTCATCAAAGGAATGAAATTAAATGAAAAATATTTTTATTATTCTGGGACTGTTGTCCCTTTAGAACAAAGTATAAATACTGAGGAAATGCATGTGTGGCAATACAATACATTAAATATTTACAAAATGATATCTAATTATAAATAAAAATATAGAAAAAAAAAAGAACAAAACAAAAGCATACATATATATATTTATATATATATATATATATATATATATATATATATATATATATATATATATATATATATATATATATATAAATATGTTAAGTAAATTGAGAAAAAACAAAACTGAGGTTACAGCTAGTGGATCAATCGAATTGCTGAGCCATCATTGATGAATAAAGGAACACATTTAAGTCTATTTATGGATCCATCAATAAGTGTAGGAACAGCCTAATAAATTCCTCTGGTCCATCAACAAGCTCATTGCTGAGTTTAGGAGCATGCTCCATCCGTAATACATTAATTTATTTTGCCATTTGCTTAAAGTATTAAGTGGAGTGGAGAGTATTGCTCAGTAATGTTTCAATTGTCACACTATATTTATTTGCCTTAGAATAAAAATGTATTTTTAATGGAAACTAAGTGAAATGCTACAAATTTATAATAAAAAAATTATAAATGTAAAGAAAAATTGTTCATGAAGATGGATGGGTTGAGGGTCCGAATGTCAATGATGGAGTACTGGTACTAGTACAGGTGGGAGGAACTAGTCCAGCAAGTGGGCACATGATCCTTTTTGCCAACCCCTGATGGCTATCCTGAGGCTCCCGTCGCATTCTTACCATAGTGAGAATTTCAAGATTCATTTCCTGGAGCCACTGAGATATGAAAATCAAACCAACCAGGTAGGCTTCGAACCCACAACATTTAACACCAGGCACCCTGAGGCCGATGCCCTAATGTACCCGCCCATCCCATCCTTTTGATGAAGTATAACTATTTATAACTAATAAATATTTATTTATGAATGGAAAAGGTTACTTCACAAAAATAATCTATGAATGTTTATTTTCTTTTGTTTTAGCATACCGATTTCAAGTGGAGGCACGAGATGACAGAGGTAATGGAAACAGAGCCAGGGTTGAATTCTTTCTGTTCGTGCTCGACGTGAATGATAACGTTCCAAGATTTCTCAAAAACCCGATGGAGTTCATTCTAGGGCCAGAAGGGACCAATTTCTCTCAGGCAGCTTATATCAAAGTAAGTCAGCTTATATAGCCTCGTTATAATTACATTGCTAACAATTCTTGATCCTGGGTTTGAGTCCAGATGTGGCAGATAATTTATTTCATTTATATCATTTCACTATGTATGAGCAGGCTGTTGACGACGATTCAGAACCTCCTAACAATGTGATACGCTATGAGATCCTCAGCGGCAACTATGACAACAGATTTGCTGTTGATCAAGAGAGTGGAGAGATGTCTGTGAACGTTGGTGGAAGAAGAGTTCGGCAAGTGACTTTGGTTGCTACCCTCCTCGTGAGGGCATACGATTTGGGTAAGGTTAAACAAAAATATATAGAATATATAACATAAAGCAATAAAATATGTAGCATCTTCAATAACATAGGAGTTCCGACCCTTTGGACAACCGGTGAAGTCAAAATTCTTCCAGCTCTTAGCCAATCGAGAATTATGCAGTTTCTTCTGCCAGGGAAGAATCTAGACCCTAGATCAGTAGAGACTACGCTGACCAAAGTGACTGGGGCCAGCAAGGTCATTATACACAGGATACAGCCATACACTGGTCAGCAGGAGGGGCAGACCACGGACCTGAGCAGTCCTGATGGCGGAGAGAAGTGAGTAACGTTTTGGGATACCTGAAACATTGAATCAAAGTCAAAGATAATTTTTTTTCTTCTAACAATGCTCTAAATAAATATTTATTTTTAATTTCATCTATTTCAACAACCACCCTGCAAAAGCCTATAAGAACAGCTTTATTTGAAAATGCAGTTTTGAGATTTTGGGGTTTATCTTAGCCTCATGGGCATTCTGAAATATAAACAAAAAAAATTGTTTTTTATCCAATCAAAATTGAACAGAAAGTCATCCAATTCATAAAAGTAAACATTATTAGTACAATATTTTCTTATTTGTATAAACATTTTGACAAAAAAATTAATAATATTAAATTAAAAGTCCTTGATAATTAAATTACTAATCCTACAAGATGTGGAATCTGCCATATTAACAAAAAAAAAAGAAAAGAAATCATAGGGAAGTGTGCAATTCAAAAGTCAACATTATCAGTGAAGTTTTTAATAAATCAAGTGTTATACATACTGAATTCGTATTAGAAAAAAATTATCTACATTATTAACCTACTTATTATTCTGATATTATGAACTTTGTTATAACAAACTAATGAATTTCTGGTCGGTTTGTGTTTGTTGCAATGAAGGTTTACTGTATGGGTGTAAAGTGGTTAAAAAGTTAATAATGTATAAACAAATTAAAGTAATACCTGTTCCATTTTTATCAGCCTCTTTAATCCTTACAGGAGCATTGTGACAGCAACCATCCTCTATGACAAGAATGCAGTCGTCGATTTGGACGATTTACAAAAGAAATTTACCAGTATTGCAAACAGGAACTCATCTTCTGTTATAATTACGCACAGAGTAGAGGAACCTGAGGTGAGCATTATAATTAATGATATTTATTTGTTGTTCTTTTAACCTTTCTTTATTAGTTTCGTTCCTGTTTTCTTCTCACTTCTTGTCCATAGATCTAATTTAATAAAATAAACTTGAAATTTATCATGTTTCTTTATTATTTTTATTTGGATGTTTCAAAAATATTATACTTCTCTCTTCAGCATCTAAAATTATATAAATGGTACATTATGATTGCTATATTGAACCATTACATATTTTTTAAAACTGTTAATATATATATATAATATATATATAATTTGTTATAAATTTGTAACAAAATAATCAAGAGACAGATCTTGAATGCTAAGTTATTATTGGAAAAATTCCAAACTCTATGCATAGAGTACGCATTTGGATTTCATGGAGTGATGTTCTATTAGCTGTTTTTCTATCCCGATGATGCCTGAATTGGTGAAACGTTGACGGGTTTTTCTTTGTCTGCATTTTGGAGAAATAAGTCTGTACTTTGGAATTTTTCCAAAAATAACCTAATACATCCTTTATACTTTGTTTTAAAAAAATTCCTATTTTAAAACTTTTTCTAAATAATCAAATTGACTTAATAATATGCCCCAGTATTGGTTTAAGTTCTAGAACAATGATCAAACATTCTAGTACATTTAAAATATATACTTTAAATGTTGGGAAAAGTAGATATTAATTTTTTTTTATTGTTTTATTTCGAGCATTTAGAATAAACTTTAGTTCTTCCTTTAAGTTTTGTGTTTCAGATATTTTTCTTTTTATAGTATTTTTTTAATGTTCATGACTGTTCAATATATAACCTGTAATGGTTTATTAATTTAGTTCTAGCTACTGAATGGGGTGATAAGCATCGCTGAAACATCCAAATAAAAATAAATAAGTAACTTCTGTTCATATATCCTAATTTTGGTGTCTTGAGGTTATATTTTTTACATAAATTAGGCCAATTATCACCTAATTATATCTTATTCGCAAAAAGAATAAAACAGCATGAACAAAATCGTAAGTCCACATCAACCGGCCTTTCGCAACATGCAACATACAACAAACACCAATTTGATTTTTAAAATGCCGAAATAATATGTAAGGAAAATAGTAACAATAAAAGAAAGATTATAGAGTCTATATATATTACTAAAAATGTAAAGAATTCCTTTAACAACCATACGGATGTGGACAATATAAATACTTTACAATATTCGCATATAAGACAATGATCCACTAATGCAAAACAATAGAAGGAAAATCCCTCTCCTTCTGACTATCCCCACCAGGGCGATATAAGTCAGTCCCTCCAGAAATGACGTAGGCGAAACCCCTATAGAGCATGACAATTTAATGTTCACTGAACAAATTATTTGCGACATTAATGATGAATATATAATGGTTTTTAATGTAAGGTTTAATGTTTAAAGTTACGTACATATAAGGTTTTTTTATAAGAAAAAGTGTATACTTTTATGTATAGATTTGGATAAATTTATGTGTATCGAAAATAATATGACATAGATCGTTAGACAAGTTAATTAAGTGTAATAAGAAATTCTTTTTGTAATTGTTGAATGTTAACTAATAATGATATTACAATTTTCCAGACATGAAAATGACCCTTAGTATGGTCGAAACGTCGAATTTAATGAGTATCAATAAAATGTTGCTGATAATTGGCCTAATTTATGTAAAAAATAAATGAGTAACACTATATATTACGAGTGTTTAATTTTTTAAAGTTAAAATGTTGGTTGTTTCCTGATTCTGCATTTAAACAAATTATGTAGATATATTCATTATAACTTTTTGAAGTTTCTTATATGTTTTATTGTATTTTGTAGCCAGTTTATAGAAGTGAAACAAGGGTTTTATTCTGGATTCTTCTCATTTTCCTTCTTCTTCTTCTCTTGGGCATCCTGACTCTCATCCTCTGCTGTCTTTGTTCTTGGTGTCCCTACTACGCTTTTTTTCACAGGTACTAACCAGACTTTTTGTAATAAGATGATTAATGACAGCTTTTCATATTTTTATCTATTTTATTTCTATTAAAAATATTTGCAACAAATCTATAATTCCCCATTCTCCTAAGCTCGACGGTGCATGCCTTCCTCTCCCCTCCTGAGAAATTTTATTGCTCTCTTCTTATTAAAAATAATGTAAGTGAAAGCAGAATTAGAAAAAATGTAGTTAATATACAATTACTCTTGCTGTGGTCTGCATCATAATTTTTCCCTTGTACGCTAGTTTAAAAGTTCCTCAAATTTGAAACCTCACAAAATTATGGATTCCTCAAAAAACTGTAACTTCATCAAACTGTGTTCCCCTTAAAATATTTAATAGCACAACCTTCGTCATACCATCCCCATCTGAGCACCTCTACTTTGACATTATTGTTTTTGTAAATTTTTTTTCTTAAATATTTCTTGAAATTATTATATTTAATCTATATATGATTATGTATTTATCAAAATTTCTTTTTAATCTCACAGCCTTTTATTTTACATTTAAAACATGTTTATAAACATTATTATTTAACGTTTCGTTTCTAAGAGCCATTTTTTAAAAAAATACCCTTTAAAAAAAAATTACTTCTAAAAAAATTCTTAAAATATATTTTATATAGAAACTACTCAATGGTAGTGATTGTTTTATTAAATATAAAATGTTTTGTTTTATTTTCTTTTTCCTTCAAATCTCCACAAAAATTCCTTTCTTCTCCTAATTTTATCAAAACATTCATCCTTAATTTCTTCCCTTTTTAATCATCTTCATATTATCTTTACTGAACAGTAGTTTTAGACTGACTACAATTCAGGAAAGAAAATTAAAAAGGAAAGAAATCAAGGATGAAGAAGAGAAGAAAGGAATTTTTGTGGAGATTTGGAGGAAAAAAGAAATAAAACAAAACATTTTATATTTAATAAAACGATTACTACCATTGAGTAGTATTTTATATACATATATATTTTAAGATTTTTTTAGAAATAATATTCTGTTTTTTTTTAAATAATTTTTTTTTTTTAAATTGCTCGTGGAGCCGAATGGTTAAATAATAATTTTTAAATGTAAAATAAAAGGCTTAGAGATAAAAAAGGGGTTTTGATAAATACATAATCATATATAGGTAAAATATAATAATTATTAAAAAATCTCACAAAAAAAATATGATTAACCTAAATAAGGTTGTTTATCATAAATATTTTTAAATTTATTGATTTTTTTTTAATCAATTATTGATAATTTTTTACTGAACAAATTTATATAAATTTCTAATATATCGTTGGTTTATTTCAAAAAATCACTAAGTACATTTTTGATGGAGCTGAACTTTTTTTTAATTTCAAGCTTATTTTTCGGTTGCAAAAACACAGTAAGTGCCCTAAAATGGCACAAATCTTTTGGTTTATTATTTTCAATAATGTACCATTGTATTTGTCCAAGAAATTCCAAAATTTTAAACCTCCCCTTCCCCCAAAATTTGAGGTTTTACTTTTCATGATACGTAGGATTCAAAAATCTAACAAAAAAGTTTTGTCCGTCCGTCATCCGTGACTTTTCTCCGAGACTACTGGACCGACTTTTTTTCAAATTTTGAATCAAAGCCATGGGTCACCCGAGGATGATCCTCCTACCTCGACATTACTATGTGCCCTTTCCTAGAAAGATGGCGGCCAAATAACCTGTGGTGGTATAGACTGTAGAGCCTAAACTAACGTACCAATTTCAATGAAACTTGGATTAAGTCTACTCCTTGATGCCCTTTAAATTTATCTATATAATGTACTTCAACAAAAAGAAGCTGGAAAAAAGTTATGAGGGCTGATAAAATTAGATTTTTCTGAATAATTTATGAAGTATAAACTTTTTTGTTGATGTTTATGGTTTTTCTAAAGTTTATGACATTCCAAAAAAAAATCATTATATATATATATATATATATATATATATATATATATATATATATATATATACAAAGCTTATATATTTTTTTGGGGTTTTTTTGATTTTTTTTAAGTTTTACATCAACTGAAGCAATGTTGTCTTTTTTTTTTAGCAAATTATCAACAATGAAAAAAAAAATTTAAGCCAATGTTAGGAATCACCTTATATTTATTTTTATTTATGTTACATGAAAAGTAATGTTAAATTGTTTTGAAAGAATAAGCCATTGTGTAATAATTTGCAGCATTTTTATATACCAAATATATTTACAAAAAATATATGATTTTTTCTGAAAGCCAAAACTTATCAAAGTTCTTAATGATTTATGGTTATGAAATGTCACCAAATGACTTTTTTTTTTTGTTAGTTAAGAACCAAAATTATTTTTATTCATAATGGACGATTTTCTTTAGCCTTCACACTTTTATGTCAAATTTTTTGATAGCCTAGTGAGGAAGAAAAGCAGCAGTAGAAGTAGAATCGTTGCCATAGCTGCGGAGAAGGAGAAGCCAGCCGAAAAAGAAAACAAGTCTGTACAAGGTAATAAAAAATATTTTTGAGATAACAAAAATCATCTTTTTTTTTTTAAATATTACTAATTCATTTAAAACATTTCCTAATGACCATCAGCGGAGTGGCAAAGCGCTCGAGCTAGGAGAGAAGCGTGGAGTGCCGATGAGAGAAGAATGTGGCACTTCGGTGGAATCAATGATACTCCTCGCCGACTCTTACTGATCCCAGAAAGGAACTATAATAATCAAAATCAACCAAATGTTGTCTACACAAGGCAGGTTAGCAATCTGGTATGAATATATGAATTATAAATTTGTATCTTGAAAGGAAAAGTACTAATGTCTAAAATTCTGAAATTCAAATGAATTGTAAGAAAAAATCTGGTATGTCTACTCACACAACTTTCCTAACGATTTCAGAAAAGTTTTTATGTCTTTAAATATGTCCTTTAAAAAACAAATGTTCAGGGCTGAAAATGTTTTTTAAAATTTCAATCAGAGATATAATAGTATACGACCGCTAATTATAAATAATAAACTATAGTGATTGATGGTACATGAATCTTAACTAATATTGCAATACACATATTAAAATTAAATATGTAAATAGTTATACAAACTAAACCTAAAAAAATAAAAAAAAATAATGAACATTATCCATTTTTACAAATTTGTAATATTTTCTCTTACTAACCGTGGTTTGACCACTGAGGGTGCTCATGTACTGACACATGTTTGGTAGGTAAGTAAAAAGGTCAGGGGTGGAGGATTTTCCAGTTGTCCTTTTTCAGATTGCAAAAGGTAGGTAAACATAGTTAGAGGGGAAGGGGGGTAACATTTATGTTTGTAGAATATACATAATTTGCTGTCTAAATATTTCAGACGTGTACAATATTTGAGTTATTTCATATGGTTACAGAAATGTGACTATTGGCTAGTAATGAAATGAACATAAGCAAAAGGTGCCAATCAATATAAATATAGTTTAGTTTGATAACAAGTATAAAATGGTTAGATGAATAATTTTTATAATAAAGACAATTTCAATGTATGCAAATGATACTTAGGACAATATATTATACAATATTTTAAGAATAACAATATTTATCATAATATAAGTTTGTATTATATTAAGGATTACATAGGCTATTGTTTTAGGAGGCAGAAAATATTTGAATATGTGTTGCAGATCTTTTCTTTGTCTACTTTATGGTTTACCGGATTATTTTTTTCCAAATTAATGAATTATAAAAAATGGATTATATATATTATTATATTTTTTTTTTTAGTTTTAGTTTGTATAAGTATTTACATATTTAATTTTAATATGTGTACTGCAATATTAGTTAAGATTCATGTACCATCAATCACTATAGTTTATTACTTATAATTAGCGGTTGTATACTATTATATCTCTGATTGTAATTTTAAAAAACATTTTCAGCCCTGAAGATGACCCACATGTTTGGGTTTCAACGTTAGCAAAAATAAAAAAATTTAAAAAAGACTGCGTCCTGAATATTTATATATTTTTTTTTTTCAATATTGGACCAAGGTAATCGAATTAGAAAAAATCCCCCAAAATTTGAGGTTTTACGTTTAAAATATATATATATATATATATTTTATTAAAAATATATATATATATTATATATATATATATTAAAAAATTTGTCTTTCTCTCATCCTTGGCTTGTAAAGTCAGAGGTTACTCATGAAAGATCTTCTAAACACAACAGAACCATCCACTATTTTGTTTCAAAGTTTTGGCTGATTAGGGATGCCAATATCTCGGTCATTTATAAAAATAAAAATATGTTAAATAAAAATGTATTGGAGTTATTAAACCAAAAAAATAAATAAATGAAATTGAAATTGAACTTTTTTTTCTGGCTTATGTGGTCATTTGTGGCAAATGGAATAGTTATTCTATAGGTAACAATTCTGCCATAAAATTAATTTCAATCTTCCTAGATCAGAATCAATAATAATAAGGCGTAGCGAACCTGGAGGTTTGATGCTGATATCACCAATTGATATCTACACTCTTCCATCCACCGGGCGCCATCTGAAGCCAAACCCAACAGATTAGACAACGCAATCTTCCCACTTTCGCTTCGGCCTACCTCTAAGACGCTTGCAAATCGGCACATATTAACTTTTTAGGAATTCTTTCATTACTAAGCCCAGCGATTTTCTTCGCTTCAACTTAATCATCTCAATTATTTTAAGCAGGTAGAGTTCACCACAATTCAGTAATGTGGAACCATCTAAATTCTCTTTTTGACTCATCCTTTGTGGGTCTGAATATTCTGCGCAAAATTTTATTTTCTAAAACCTTAAGATGTTGCTCATCTCTTAATATAACAGGCCACGTTTCGCATCCATAAAGAACCGTATGAAGGAAAATGGTTTTGTAAATTTCGATTTGTAAGTTTCAGGAAAGCAGATCCAAAACTGTTTGAAAGATCAGAATTAAATTAGCTAAATCAGACTATTTATGCCTTGTATATGGTGAAATGTCTGATGAACATGAGTAAATAATAAATTTATTTATTATAACTATTCAAACATTAAATTTTACAATTTTTAGATCAATATAAGATTTAAATTAATGATTAAAATAATTTAATGTAACTAATCGTTGCATTGTGTACAACTTTCTGGAAAATAGATCTGCCTTTCTCTAGTTTTATCTCTAATAATAAACTATATCCATGATTTGTATTTACTATGATATAAAAAAAAATAATGGTTACTTCTTCTTAATTTTAGGTTGAAGAACAAGCTGAGAAACCAAGACAACAAAGACAAGACATTCTACTGATGGAAGATATTGATGGAACTGAATACCAAGTTCTGGACCCTTCGAGACTTCGAGAACCTTCAACGAGGCAATCTATGTTCATTCGGGATGGTGGGGCAGAAATATTACGTCTTGTGACAAGGGGAAGAAATGGATCGGAAGAAGAACCTCAACTGAATCAACCTCAAAGACCTTTTACTTTAGAGAACAAAGAAACAGAAGGTAAAGTAACCATAATGAAGCGATTCATAGATGATACCAATGGACAACAGATGCATAATAAAGATGATAAAGTAGAGGAGAGCAAACTCCGAATACCCGGTGAAATCGCTGAAGAAAGTGAAGAAGAGAAAAAGGAAGATTTAATGAAAAGAGTGATGGATCTAGATGTTGAAAGAGACATGTCTACAGCCGATGTCAATCGTTTAACTTCCATACAAAGAGATATTCTTCTTACTCGTTTCCTAGTTGAAGAACAAAGACGAGCACGAGTGGAAGATACACAAAGCTTACCTGGAGTAGTAACCATGGCAACACAAACTGATAAACATGCGGAAACACAGACAGACCATGTGTATTTCAAGAGAAGATCCAAAAGTGACAATGATGAATCGCCTTCAGATTCAGAAGAAACTGCCAAAAGAAAATTAAAGCGAAGGCGAAGAAAACAGGTTGGCACAGTTGAGTTCCGCCCGGCAAGCCGAATCGAGATAAGTTCTCCTATCTTTGAAGAAGGTGAAGAACTAAAACCACACAATGTAAACCAAACGAAAGCTGGTTTACTTCGACAAACTGCAGTCAAATCAAGGCTAGATGAAGAAAACATTAAATTTCGAAGTAGCAGTGATCATGAATCGACATTTAGGAGGAGAGACGTTCTCCGTTCCCTTCAAGTTACTCCTATAAAACAAATGAATATAATTAACAATGTTCTCGTTGAACATATCCGTTATAAAGATCCCCCATCTCTTAACACGCAGGAGACAAACACCGATTCCATGGATCTATCTAATAGCAAGGAAAAGCAAAAACCAGATAGAGGAGGGATCAGATCTCAGCCACCAACTCGAGAACCCTCCATTACTCCATCCGCAGGGCTGACTCCTCGGTCACAATCACAAGCCAGGGCTAAAACTACTACTAGATATATGGACTGGTACAAAACTAAAAAGGAAACACGTCAGAAAGAGAAGCAAGAAAAAGATCCTATCTTTAGGGCTCCGTCACAAAACAGGTTCAGAAATAAAAATCTAGTCGAAAATACAACACATACAAAAGAAAGGAAAAGATGGACTGATAAAGACGATCAAGGTACAAACCAAAAACAAACAATGATTAACTTAAAACCAGAACCTGTCAAAGAAGAAGAAATTGTTACCAGGCAAGATAGGCTCAATCAAGGGCTCGATTCTGGCACAGCCTCACCTTATCAATTAGTTCCAACACAATTAAAGAACCAGCATTTTCTGGAGAAAAAAAGCATCTTCACGATAGCATATGACGACATGGAAACTAAACAATTAAGACTAGATTCGGCTTCGTCCCCGTAACAAAGAATACTAGTAGAATCTAAGTATTTCTATATTTATCCAATATTAATGGTATCTATTTAAATATTTGGTAACCAAAAATCCTGACATGAAGGGTACATCATCTGGGCAGAGGTGCTCAGAAGGGAGTTTCATGGCGCAAGTCATCAAAATTTTTGAAGGGACAGATTTTAACAGGGTTTTGAATTTTGGAGAGGACACAATTTGATGGGATTATGAATTTTTGGAATGAAAAGTTTCAAATCAAGGGGAATAGGGAAACATGGAACAGAACACATTAAGTGTATTTGTATAAAATACACAATTTTTAAATTCTACTTTGCTAGCATTGGTTTTTTCTTTTTTTGCCTCCCCTTACGTGCCTTTTCAGCTACATGGGGCTTTCCCGGACCGGAGAAGAAAGTGGTGGAATTATGGTGAGCGAAAAGTCCCACTGGGCACCGGGATTTGAACTCCTAATTGTTTTTCTATTTGATCTTCGGTTATAAAGTTGCCGGGAAAGACACAGTACTGTGCTTTGCTACCCTGCCCCCTCTGGCATTGTTATTAAGAAGGAGAGAAGAATGAACTATATTGGTAGGAGTGGAGGGAGAGATTCATGGGCCATTTACCTTGGGGAAGACGGGCACCTTTGCATCTGAGTTCATATATTTTCTGAAATATTCCATTCCTTTGTATAATGTAACGTATAAAATAACGATCTGATAGCTGTAAGGCAAAGTACACACTTGGGTACAGAGTCAAGAGATTATTGTATCAAGACGTACAAGAGATAAATTTAAAATGATGATAATAAGATAAATTTTTTGATCAAAATTTCTATACATTTGTCTCTGGTTTTAATGGCACTTGAGAATGAGGCAAAATTGTTAAAGAATGTTGATTATTGATTCATATGTCATGGCAGAGAAGGTTTCCAGTTATTTTGTGTGAGCTGTGGAAAACACTCCCTAATCCAAATTTATTTATTTTTTTATGTTGTGATTCATTTTAAAGAAAAACTATATACAATAAACTAATATATATATATATATATCAATTCTGAACTTTGTACTACAATTTTAATAAAAGTTATTGGAAAAAATAGGAGGTTCAAATAAAACTCCTACTTTAATAATTGGACTGATCAAGATGTGGCAAATTTTGTTTAAAACATTTTCGACATCAAGATCTCGTAAAATTCCTTTAGAATGAACCAGAATAAATCATAATTCTTGCCGAAAGCCAACAAAAAGGTTTCATCGTTGCCATGGGATACATATTGTGTGTCGTTTTATTATATTCATTATAATCTACATAGATACGATTTATATAAAAAAAATTTCATGTTCTCTTCATCAGCATTCTTAATAAAATTGATTACCACATTTTGAATATAATGAAATCATGATCAACATCTTTGCAAGATATAATAAAAAGAGAATCCAAAGAGACAAAAAGGACACTTTGGTTGATCATTCTTTATTGATAAATATTTATTTATTATCACTGTCACAATTTAAGATTTGAAACAAATATGACATATACTTATTATGTGAAATATAAAAAAAATATGTTAATGACCAAATGTGAACTAAAATCAAACTTATAATTAGTTGTAAATTTTAAATTGTTTAATAAATTATATTTAATAAAAATGCCTTAAGTGTTATTTAAAAAAAAAAAATAATTGTAAATAAATAAGTACCTTCCATAAACTTTTTTAAAATAGGTGAATGTGATAGTTTGTTAATATTTTATATAAGTGACTTGCAATTTCTATTTTTTAATGTACTGTTTCACTGCCGTATATATCTTTTGTATAGTTGACAATATGTACAGAGATAATAAATTTTTTTGTCAAATTTCTAAACTTTTTTAAACCTAATTTTCCTTTTAAAACTAACAAGTCCATTTTTTTTTATTAATTTATTTGTTTGTTTTTGGAGATAATCCCCTTATAAAAGGTTGCCCTCAGCTCATTATTTTTTATTTTATTTTTTTTTTAAGGTAAGTATACGTAAGATGTGAACATTTATATAAAAAAATCGAATAAAATTATGTTTACAAATTTCTCTCATAACATCTACTGCTGAACTTCTGGGAAGAAGTGACTATGGTTCATCACTTCTAATAAGAACAACGTTTCATTTGATACCTCACTCGATAAAATCAGTGAATATAAAATTTTTGATCATTTTTTACAAAAATCTAAGGCTATAATAGCCTTGATTCAATTTCGAAGAAAAAAAGTTTTATTTTTCGATTGCTATGAAAATTCGTATTTGAGGGTTCTTAGACGTTCTAAATAGAAATCTCAACTCCGTTTCTCAATAGAAAAAAGTCTGAGCTATTTGGAAATAAAAATTTGCATATTTCTCTCATAACTTCTACCGCTGAACTTCCGGGAAGAAGTGATTATGGTTAATCACTTCTCCTCCGAATACCCTTTCATTTGATACCTCACTCGTTAAAATCAGTGGATATAAAATCTTTGATCATTTTTTACAAAAAACTAAGGCTATTTATTTATAGCCTTGATTCAATTTCGAAGAAAAAAAGTTTTATTTTTCGATTGCTATGAAAATTCGTATTTGAGGGTTCATAGACGTTCTAAATACAAATCTCAACTCTGTTTCTCAATCGAAAAATGTCTAAGCTATTTGGAAATAAAAATTTGCATATTTCTCTCATAACTTCTACCGCTGAACTTCCGGGAAGAAGTGACTATAGTTTATCACTTCTCCTCCGAATACCCTTTCATTTGATACCTCACTCGTTAAAATCAGTGGATATAAAATTTTTGATCATTTTTTACAAAAAACTAAGGCTATACTTGATTCAATTTCGAAGAAAAAAAGTTTTATTTTTCGATTGCTATGAAAATTCGTATTTGAGGGTTCTTAGACGTTCTAAATACAAATCTCAACTCTGTTTCTCAATAGAAAAATGTCTGAGGTATTTGGAAATATAAATTTGCATATTTCTCCCATAACGTCTACCGCTGAACTTCCGGGAAGAAGTGATTATGGTTAATCACTTCTCCTCCGAATACCCTTTCATTTGATACCTCACTCGTTAAAATCAGTGAATATAAAACTTTTGATCATTTTTTACAAAAAACTAAGGCTATAGCCTTGATTCAATTTCGAAGAAAAAAAGTTTTATTTTTCGATTGCTATGAAAATTCGTATTTGAGGGTTCTTAGACGTTTTAAATACAAATCTCAACTCTGTTTCTCAATCGAAAAATGTCTGAGCTATTTGGAAATAAAAATTTGCATATTTCTCTCATAACTTCTACCGCTGAACTTTCGGGAAGAAGTGACTATGGTTTATCACTTCTCCTCCGAATACCCTTTCATTTGATACCTCACTCTTAAAATCAGTGGATATAAAATTTTTGATCATTTTTTACAAAAAAACTAAGGCTATAGCCTTGATTCAATTTCGAAGAAAAAAAGTTTTATTTTTCGATTGCTATGAAAATTCGTATTTGAGGGTTCATAGACGTTCTAAATACAAATCTCAACTCTGTTTCTCAATCAAAAAATGTCTGAGCTATTTGGAAATAAAAATTTGCATATTTCTCTCATAACTTCTACCGCTGAACTTCCGTTAAGAAGTGACTATGGTTTATCACTTCTATTAAGAACAACGTTTCATTTGATACCTCACTTGATAAAATCAGTGAATATAAAATTTTTGATCATTTTTTACAAAAATCTAAGGCTATAATAGCCTTGATTCAATTTCGAAGAAAAAAAGTTTTATTTTTCGATTGCTATGAAAATTCGTATTTGAGGGTTCTTAGACGTTCTAAATAGAAATCTCAACTCCGTTTCTCAATAGAAAAATGTCTGAGCTATTTGGAAATAAAAATTTGCATATTTCTCTCATAACTTCTACCGCTGAACTTCCGGGAAGAAGTGATTATGGTTAATCACTTCTCCTCCGAATACCCTTTCATTTGATACCTCACTCGTTAAAATCAGTGGATATAAAATTTTTGATCATTTTTTACAAAAAACTAAGGCTATAGCCTTGATTCAATTTCGAAGAAAAAAAGTTTTATTTTTCGATTGCTATGAAAATTCGTATTTGAGGGTTCTTAGACGTTCTAAATACAAATCTCAACTCTGTTTCTCAATCGAAAAATGTCTGAGCTATTTGGAAATAAAAATTTGCATATTTCTCTCATAACTTCTACCGCTGAACTTTCGGAAAGAAGTGACTATGGTTTATCACTTCTATTAAGAACAACGTTTCATTTGATACCTCACTTGATAAAATCAGTGAATATAAAATTTTTGATCATTTTTTACAAAAAACTAAGGCTATAATAGCCTTGATTCAATTTCGAAGAAAAAAAGTTTTATTTTTCGATTGCTATGAAAATTCGTATTTGAGGGTTCTTAGACGTTCTAAATACAAATCTCAACTCTGTTTCTCAATCGAAAAATGTCTGAGCTATTTGGAAATAAAAATTTGCATATTTCTCTCATAACTTCTACCGCTGAACTTCCGGTAAGAAGTGACTATGGTTTATCACTTCTCCTCCGAATACCCTTTCATTTGATACCTCACTCGTTAAAATCAGTGGATATAAAATTTTTGATCATTTTTTACAAAAAACTAAGGCTATAGCCTTGATTCAATTTCGAAGAAAAAAAGTTTTATTTTTCGATTGCTATGAAAATTCGTATTTGAGGGTTCTTAGACGTTCTAAATACAAATCTCAACTCTGTTTCTCAATCGAAAAATGTCTGAGCTATTTGGAAATAAAAATTTGCATATTTCTCTCATAACTTCTACCGCTGAACTTTCGGAAAGAAGTGACTATGGTTCATCACTTCTCCTCCGAATACCCTTTCATTCGATACCTCACTCGTTAAAGTCAGTGGATATAAAATTTTTGATCATTTTTTACAAAAAACTAAGGCTATAGCCTTGATTCAATTTCGAAGAAAAAAAGTTTTATTTTTCGATTGCTATGAAAATTCGTATTTGAGGGTTCTTAGA